GTACTCATAGGAGCTGTTCAACAGATAAGTACTAAATTGAACTCAGTCTACCTGAATGTACTGCCAAATTTGATCTAGATATTGTCATTTAATAAGATGAAAACAAAGTTGCAGTCACTTCTTTGGATTCTCACAAATAGCAGGGAGATAGTACTATGTAATGGTTATAAGACTGCGTATCTGAGATCAGTCACTTGAAGTACAGTGTCTAGAACAGATTAGGCATTTAAATGTTTGCTTTTGTGAATAAATGAACAGATAGAGCAGCCTAAATTTAAATCCTGAATCCACCTTTTCTTAATTGTGCTATCCAGCTAAGTTGGTTAACACTTCTAAGGCTCAGTCCCTTTATTGTTAAGATAGGATAGCAATAGTACCTACACTTGGAGGTTTTATAAATATTGAACCTACTCATGAATATAACACAGTAAAGGATCTAACAGATAGTGAACCCTTATAATAGCCCATAATAATAATAACAGTTATTATTATTGTTATATTAATCATTATCTAACTTGTTGGCCTGAACAAATATTGTCTAATTTAACTCAGCATCACTTTACTTGCACAGATGCATTGCTGCTTAAAAATTCAGGCAGGTAATATGGCTACATTTTTTAAATTAAAAGAAACCTGTAAGTTAATAAACTTCTACAAATTAGGAAAGGACTTTACTCAAGTTGCACACCTTCTTTTTAAGAATGTGTGAATTGCGTGGGGGTGGGGTGCAAAAACTGGTGTTTGAAAAAGAAATTAAAAATAAGTCTTTAAGAAATAAAAATCTGTGTCTTTTGGCATTGCTACAGTGTAGAAAATGAATTTGCAGTATTTAGAACCATTGGCCAGATTGAAAGCTATGGTACCTAAATCCAGGCTGGATTTAGTTTCCCTGAAAGCCACCCACAACTCTAAATGCTGTTTTCTAAATGTGTGTGCTCAGAGTTTTGTTAACCCAAATATTAGGTATGATTTTAAAAATTGTAGAGAAACTAGCTAGTCAAATACAGGATCTTAGAACTGTGGGATTTTACAACTGAAATGGATCTTGGAGGTAATCTAGCTCAAACTCCAAATTTTGCAGATGAAAATATGTAAGGCCTAGAGCAGTCTTATAATTGCCTGGTAACTTTCCTTTCGTGGCACAGAAGAACTTACTACAACTTTTGGTGCCATCATAGGACTTTATGAATGAATGGCTTTTGCACAAAAGCAAAGAGGACAATGTCAGAATCAGTTCACTTCATAGGCTTCATCACTTGGTAAGAAGAGAAAGCCAACAAGTTCTGGGGAGTCAAGTGCTCCTTCACTGAATAAGTGATAAGTATTAGTAAATTGCCTTTGCAAGGCATGACCCCAGAGCTGACAATAAGCTTTTCCTGTAGGTTCCATGCAGAAGGCTGGAGTATGTCCAATAACCAAACCAAACCAAAACAAAAAACTGAGCTTCACATTAATATAACATTCAGAATACAGCTTTGCAAATGGTTAAAAAGGAAGTCTTTCTAGTACTTCTGAGACTAAACTCCACTGGAGAATGTCAGCACATCTATAATGACAAGGTTCAGATATATTGGCAAATTATTTGTAAGTAATTTTCATAATCCTATAGAGGAAAGAATTAGTTCTACATATGGAGTCTTCATTTCTACTTTTAAAATTTCTTTTTCTGTTCCTTTTTCTTGTCAATGATACAACTCTACTCTTCCAAATATATAAGCTAGAGAGGCAAATAAGAAGTTCTGAATTAAAGGGCTGAGAGCAGTTTTTAAAAATTAATTCCATGTGCTGTTAATAAGTGTTACCTGAACAAAAGTTAAGTGCTTGGAAAACACTGCATTAGTTAAATTTAAATAGGATTCATCACTAAAACATTCCTTAGTGCCTTTTATATGCTAATGTACACTGTGACTCCTTTGGGAGAGTTGTGTAGAATATAATGTTCAGCACTTTCCTAACTGATTTGATTTTTTTACCCACAAATCCTACTTTAGTAGTAGTGTACTAGAGCATGAGTAACCAAAAAGCAGTTTAACTATGACTTGAAAACTTCTAAATTACATCAAATGACATAAGAGGACAAAAATGAAAACCGTTTATCTTTGAGTAAATTCTTGGCTTCTTCAAAGGATGATCTCTACACAGGTAAAATGAGGGTAAAGTTCTTGGCTAAAATGCAAAGCAAGCATTTAATATGAGTAAGTGTTTTCCTAAGCGTAGAACTATGCTGGAAGCTGGAAGAGCTGATAGGAAGACTTGCATCATGCCCAAAATGTCAAAGTTAAAAATGAAGCTTCTTTCATTCAAGGTATGGAGAGAATGGAGGGAGTTGGAGTCAGTTCCCTCCCAGGCTCCTGCTGCCTTTTCACCACCTCTAGTGACCCATCAGAGATTCTTCAAAATCTGGGGACTCTATGGGATACAGTTAAAAACAACACATTTTTATATGTACACAACTCCCTCACTTTCTAAGTTTGTGAGAAAGGGGGTAAATTACTAATTAGCAGAAAAAATAATATTTGTAGACAGCGGTCCTATAAAGCAAAAAGCCCTCTTGTTTTGATGAATACTTTGTTGCAACTAGCTGAGTTTAGGCTTGGGAAGCTGGAGAGAGTTGACTAGTTAGGCATAATCATCTAGATGTGTTAATCTAGTTACACAGTCATCTAGAATGTTGGGTCTCAAAGGCAATCTAAGGGTAAAGAAAGAAAATAAGTGAAAAATGGTAAAGGAGGAGAAGATTCAGTCAGAGGATATGAAGCTGAGGTATACAGTGTTGCAGATGTTGTCAGGGGCTGTTATCCTAGGGCAGAAGATTTGTAATTAAAGACAAGCCTAAAATTCGATTTTAAATTATGTACATTATTGTGATTATAAGCCATTCCTGGCCTCTTCAGATCTTCAGTAAAATTTAAAAAATATTGTGGAAATGAACATGAAGCAAGTTTCATGTCTCAGAATGGGACATGGACAGACTGTGTGGGACAATTAAATCATAAAATGATATAATCCAGTAGTAGAAAGGGCTCCTACCATACAAATAGAAGAAATGTAGACATTAGCAGAAATCATAGAGAAAGCCAGGCACTTTAATAGACTCTACAATGAATGGTTGGTAATGTTATTTAAATTTTAAGGAACAGAGCAGTCCCAGCTAATGGACCATTCTGAATAACAGAAGAAAGTTTTGATTTTATATGGAAGAACTTTTCCACTCCAATGACTTGGAGTTTCCACCACCAAGAAATGCCAACAACCCCCAAATGAGTTGGCTTGTATTTCTAATGATCAATTAGCCACATCTACTTGAATGCCTTACTCATGCTTTAAATTCAGCATGACCCTGATGGTACCTTCCCCACTTCCTCCCAAATCCCTGTGTCTTTGTTTCCTGAGTCTGTGAATGCTTCCATTACCTGTCCTGCTTATCCTGAACTCTTTTCTCCCATTTATACCACATATGGAACTAGTCACCGAACCATTTTAATTTTCACTGCTTGCATATTATCCGCTTCTGTGTTTTTTTGCTTCCCCAGTGTAGCTTGCATTACCTTGCTGAAACAGTTCTAAGCACTTATCAACTGCTCACTCTCTCCATTCCATCAATCCTCCAGGCTGCATCAATTATTACATAAAACGCAGATCATGTCAAGTCATGTTACTTTTAAACTTTATTATCTAGCTCCCCATTGCTCACAGGATGAGGGTCTCTGTAGCCTGGCTAAAAGATTTCAGGAAAATGTGTTCTTGCACCACTCCAAGCTTTAACTCCTTTCATTCCCCGTCCTATATGCTATGCCACAAGGTCACACATACTATTTTCACTGCCTAATCTTTTCTCTTCATCTTTTGTCTTTTTCCACAAAGACCTTGAGTCCAAGCAAAACATTCACGCTCTGTCTCTTTAGCGTAATTCAAAATGTCAATGAAAGATAAAAATAAGAGATCTGATAAGGATTTATGTTCTTTCTTCAGATGATGTTTGCATTGTTTAACATTTTACCTCAAAAGAATAAATAATATGTATAATTCAGCATATTGTGTCACACTTGCAGGAAAAAACCTGTGATTGCTCAAGTTATACCTCACAGGTAATGAACATTCTACATGTTTAGCTGGGCTTGACCAATGAAGTGACCACTGTCTCAGGGGTAACCATTCCTTATAAGGCTGCATATGTAGTATAAAAGGCATAGGATATAGTTTGAGAATAGAGTTTGAGTATCCATGTTATCATTCACTGTTGAAGCGGTCTTAGGAAAAATATATCACTTTTTTGAACCTCATTTTTTAAATCTGTAAGACAATACCTACTTCTCAGGGTTGTTATGCATTTCAAATGGAATTAGGGATATTAAAAGACTCTGCAAATGGTGGAGAAAGGATATTGCAATCTATAAAGCAACACACAAATGTGAAAAAAGGGTGCTATGAAAAGACAACTAGACATGGAGTCAAAATACATGGGGTTATGGTTGATCTGTGGTCCACAAAAAGACATGTTAAAGTCCTAACCCCTGCTACCTGTGAGTGTGACCTTATTTGGAAATTGGTTCCTTGCAGAAGTAATTAAGATGAGGTTATTAGAGCAGGCCCTAATTCAATATGACTAGTATCCTTATAAGCAAAGGAAAACACAGAGACACATGAGAAAATGGCATGAGAAAAAGGAGGCAGAGACTGGAGTGATGTATGTATAAGCCAAGTAACACTCAGGCTTGCCAGCCACAACCAGAACCTAGGAGACAGGCATAGAACAGATTCTCTCTTAGAGTCCTCAGGAGGAACCAACCCTGCCGACACTGATTTCAGACTTCTAGGTTTCAGAACTGTGAGATAATATATTTTTATTGTTTTAAGATACCAAATTTGTTGTACTTTGTTATTGCAGCCCCGGGGACCTAACATACGTAAGTGTGAATTTTAGCTTCATCACTTATGAGCTCTATGAATTCAAGTTAAATTATTTGAGGTTTTCCCCCTGACATTTTAAAGACACTTACCTTTCTGTGATTGTTTCTCTGAGGCCACTTGCCACCCCTTTGACTACAGTGCTAGCTTTGGGGGTCAGCACCACCTGAGATATAAAAAACGATCCCTTCTTTCTTCTTTCAGTGATGGATGCTTGAAGAAACTGGATCAGTTTCTCAGGGTCTGTGGTGTTGGCCCAGGGTGCTGGCATCATCTGCCCGGGCCAGAGAAAGGGCACTTCCAGAGCCACTGGACTATGGTAGAAGACCAGCACTTGATAGTCCTTCTCCCACAGGTACTTTAAACTAACTTCCTGGGCAAAAATCGCTGGGCACATTTTATTTCCATAGATGTCTTTCAGCATTTGGACCAGTTTTTCATGGTGATATTTCTGCATCCCATAGAAGTGGTTGAAGTCCAAGAACACTACCTCCTTATGGTGATCTGTGAGGAATGCATTGATCTCCTCAAGGCCTTCATTGACTTTGGCACTGAACAAACCATGAGCAAAATAGAGTTCATTGTCGGGGTCTCTGGGCTTGGTGGAAATTCGAAGATCAAAATAACGAATTCCAGCTCCTAGCTGGCCAGTAAAATTCATTGTCTGAGTGGCCAACCATTTCCTCATGAGCTTTTTGGCCACAGTTCCAAACACAGAGACAAAATTCTGGACAGTTTCTGGCTGTTCAGGACCTACTGGAGAGGCTTCATCAATGTAGAAGCTGAAGGAATCATGAGACCCTAGGAGAATAACAAGCATAGTGTGGTTAATTTCCAGGTCTTTGCCCTTCCCAACTTCTTTCCCTCTTGCAATATCCATACCTCTCCCTCAAATGAGACACAGGAAATACTAAGAAATTTAGTACTAGTTATTTTTTATGCCTTAGGAGAGTCCTTTACATAATTTGACATAAGACACAGAACACTTCAATAGATCAAATTGGTTATAAAAGAATAAGAAGATTTCGTTATCATTAAATTTAAAATTTAAATAATCATCTATTCTGTGAACCGAGAATGTAATACACTCACTAGAATTGGCTTTCCATATGGGTGACATAAGTGATCATTCATAAAGCGATATGTATGAAGACTCACCAGTACCCCAATACTTTACAGTCTTACCCTTCTCCTTGATTTTGGGTTGATTTTAAGCCTAGAAGGATTGTCTCAATGAATAAAGATGCCCTTTTCACAAGCAATCAGCATTCGAATTGTTACCTCATTCACTTTGGAAGGCACAGGAGGTCAAAGTGATAGAGGGAAGGAGAAATAAGACAAGAAGGCAGTACAATGCTGACATATTTAACTTCATTCCTGACCTTGTATTTGGGCAACTGTAAACTTAGATGAAGTCAAGTACTTTTCACATATTGAATAAATGATTAACTGTTCTTGCAAGTCAACAGCATTTAAAAATTAACAGCATTTATAAATTGGCAGCATTTAAAAAGTAACTAATAGACTCTTCACAAATTTTCTCTCAATAGCATAAACTCTTTTGGGAATTGGCTTCTAAATTTAGAATAATTTCTTCCTAGGAAGAAAAAGGACTATTTATTTTATTAGTTTTGGCAGTTGCAAATTTCAAGACTCCAGAAATGTAGCAATGAACATGTGTGTGATTTGTCACAGAGAGTGGCATTTGAAACTCTTTATTAGGACCCAATAAAGAAAAGTTATTTCAAGGTTGCATTTTATTTCTTAAAGCCTCCTTTAATTCTTAGGCATAACCCACTGAAGAGCTAAAATTAAATTAACATATTCTAAAAATTTCATACATTAGAGGGCAGATATGCTTTAAATTCTGACACCCTTTCCTGTTTCATGACCTTGTCCTAGTAACATCGTTCCCCATCTGTTACTCAGGCTTCCTCTGAGTACACTTTGTTGCCCCATTCCTGATTTTCCTCCCTTGAGGCACATATTTTCCTAGTTCTTTCACTCCCCAACCCAAAACTCACATACATATAAATACACACAGGCACACACAAGAATCTTAAGTTTATCCATACAACACTTCAAAGCCTTGGTCTGATAAATTAGTTGAAGGTTTTTTTCAGTGATGCAATATATACCATTCGTCTATATTCCATATCTAAGTCTATTTCTTTCTATCTATCTATCTATCTATCTATCTATCTATCTATCTATCTATCTTTCTGTCTATCTATCTATATCTAGCTTTAACAGCCCATAAGAATCACAAGTGCCTAAATTTCAGACACTATGGTAGGTTGTTAAAGAAAATAATTTGCAAAATATTTTGATACCCTGAAAATCACAACCTTTAAAATTTAGATAAGTTCTCAGAATGATTTGCTTTTTCAAAAACAATAAAAGATAACCCAAATATACAGAAATGGCATGTTTAATTTAATCTGAAACTGCATGTCTTATCTTTAGTAGATGGTGTGGCAAGAAAATGTCAATCCTTTCTGAATAAGCAAAGCTGGAAGTTAGGTTCTGATTGGTAAGTTTTAATAAACATTTAAATTGCTGCATACTGGTTTATTAGTTGCTATTCATCTGACTGCTAATTTAAATGAAAGCTAAACAAATGGTGCTAGAGCTCAATATATACAAAGAAGTATGTCTAAAGATAGAAATGAAAGAAAGTTTAAGAATAATTATGATTAAATGATCTAAGATTAGGAGAGATAATAAATAAATTTATTTAAAAATAAATTTAAACTCTCAAAATAAAAGTTAAAAAGTTAGTTTCAAGGCACATGAAGGGAAAGGTAGATGAAAGTAATTGGTTACTTCTGTAATCTAGTAGAAATTATACTTGGAGGCAGGCAAAAAGAGAATTAAGTATAACTAGATTTCTTTTACTAGAAATGAGTGGTTCTTTTTTTTCAATATGGCTTTAGTTTCACCTTTCTATCACATGGTTATTTGGCAAGTAAAAAAATTTGTAAAAATAAAATTTTAAAGGCAAGGAAATCACCACTTTTGAAAATACTGTGAAAGGATACTATACTTTCTAGAGTACATGATTTGTTGACTTTCATGGAAAGTAGCTTCTTAAGGTCAAAATAAGGGAATGTTAAAAATAAAAATAAACAGTCAGAAGGAGAAGCCAATGGTGGCTTCACCAGTATGTGTTTTAAGCCAGATGACTTTGAGGTGTAGCCACAGCACCTGGTATAAAATGGTGCTTCATACTGTAAATCTTATTAGAAAAGAAAATAAAATCAATAGATACAAAACAGTATCTATGCATTTTGTAAGAAAATATATAATCTACTTTTGGCTAAAAAAAATGAATATTTTGATGACTTTTAATTTTATTTGGAGTAATACTTCTCAATTTCAACATTTTTACGGAACCAGTAAGTTTTCTATTCATTTGAATGTAAAGCAAAAATACAGCAGTACTTCATAACCATTCAATAATTGTGAGGAAAAGCCTAACCTCGTGTCTTTAAAGCCAGGAGTCCTCTTTGTTCTTGAACTTTTCTGCTACATCTGGTCTGACATTTTGCTTCTATATTGACTTGGTATTCCTGGGCTTCTGACCTTTTATTCTTCTCTCATCCACAGTCTCAAACTCATACCTTGGACTTGGTACTTAATGTCACTCCTCTGATGTTGAATTTAGTTTCTCATCTTTAGGTTCCATTTGCCCTCTCTCCTCAGACAAGGGCTAACCACTCCCATTATACACCCAGTCCCATCAAGTTTGGTTGCTTTGGCTCTGAATAAGTAAATGTAATCAGAGCAACTATTTGTTTCATTTCTTGGAAATAAGCACTTTAATTTGTTTCTCCTCAGTGTGATAAATTGTACCGTCATTCAGGCACTGTGGGAAGCCCACTTCTAAGATGGCACCTAACAATCCTTGCCCTCCTGCATTCATATCCCTCTCTGTGAGTGTGGGCTGAACCTATGACTTGCTTCTAATGAATACATAAGACAAACATGATGGGATGCCCTTTCTGAGATTAGGTTACAAAAAGTTATAACTTCTGTCTTGCTACTTTTTTCCTTGCTTTGATGAGTGAACTGCCATGTTGGAGAGGCCCATGTGACACAGAGGTGGGAGTGGCCCTTGGCCAACAACCAGCTGGGAGCAGAGGTCTTTAGACTAACAGCTCTCAAGGAACTGAATCCTGTTAACGGTCAATGAGTAAGCTTGGAAATAGATCCTGCCTGAGTGAGACCTTGATTGCAGCCCTGGGAGAGAGACCAAAGCAGAGAACCCAGTTAAGTAATGCTTAGATTCCTGATTCATAGAAGTACTCAGAAACTCTGTGTTGTTTTGCGCAACTAAATTCAGGGGCAATTGGTTAGACAGAAATAGTTAACTAATATAGGCCATCTCTTTGTGGTTAATGAGGGGACTTGTGGCCAATAGACCCAACTGGCTAAAAGGAGAAGTTGGAATTTCAAAGAAGAGAAATTAACTATGTTTATGTTATATGAATGTTTCTATTATTGAAAACTGTATCAGATATGAGAAAAAATTTTAAAGATGGTTTAAAAAATATTGAATTCACAAATGGACTTTCTTTTTTCCACATACTGTTATGGATGATCTGAGATATCATCTGGCCTAACCAATTGGCACATAGCATCAATTTTATTACCTTATCAGTGTGGAACGTGTGTGTGTGTAATCATTTCTATATTTTATGATTTCCAGTAGTACTGGACTTAACTTCTTATCCTGTCATTTGGTATGGTAGGAAGATTGCCCCTAAAACATCCTTCTCCTGGTGATAAGACCTATATAATCCCTCCCCTTGAGTGCAAGGTCTATGATTCCATATTGTTCTTGTGATTATGTTACATTATATAGAAATGAGATTTTTAAAAATATGTAATTAAGGTCCCTAATCAGTTGGCTCTTAGTTAATCAAAGAGAGATTATCCTGTGTAGGCCTGACTTGAACAGACAAGCTCTTAAAAGAGGCAACAAGCTGCAACAGATATTTTCCTGTTGCTCTTACAGAAGCAAAATGCAATGTTGTAGAGAAGGCCATATGGCAAAGGAAGTCATTAATAGCTCACTAAAGTGGTATAAACATTTATTTAAACTGAAAGCATCTGAACAATCAGCAGCAACAGAAAAAAAATATTATTTAAACTTAAGCAGACCCTCCTGAAAATATAGTTGCCATTGCCTCCCCTTCTGATTGAAAAAAAGACTGATCCTTATCACCAGAAAGTGCAAATATAGCTGTCCATAAGCATCATAAAGCCCAGTAGACCATTCCATACTTTTCCAATTAAAATCTTAACCTTTTTGTTAAGTTTAGTATGTGAGCCTTTATTTATGGTTATTCAGGGAGTTACTCCTCACTGAGCACTCCCATCTGCATACCATGCATGCATAAATAAACCTTGTGTTTTCATCTGTTAATCTGTCCATTGACAGTTAGTTTGCAGGCCACCAATCACTGGACCCAAGATGAAAGGGAAAGGTTTTCCTCAAAATATAGTGAACACTAAGTAGCCTCTAGGAGCTGAGGTCTAAGCTCCTACAACTCAAGAAACCACGTTCTGTGAACAACCAACAAGCTTGCAAAAGGAACCTTAGCCGCAAAAGAGATTGCAGTCTTGATCAGCACTCTGATTTCAGCCTGGTATCATCCTGAGCAGAGGTCCCAACTAATTCATATCCATAGTCCTTATTTACAGAAGCTATGAGAAAATTTGTATTGTTTAAGCCACTATATTTGTGGTCATTTTAATGCAACAATAGAAAACTAATACATTTGGACACTACTTAA